TTCCAAAACCCTCAATTGTTTGGTTTTCAAAGGGTTTCCCAAACAACACATTAGGAAGGTTTTCAACTCGATGACACATTGAAACACCATCCAATCGAGGAGGGGGATTGCCAAATTCAACCCGACCTTTCAAAAAATTAGTATGATCAAATTTGAAAGGATGTGACTGGGATAAAAACTGACGATGATAGTCAAAAAAAGATGGTTTATGCCCATGTTGAAGATAGAAAGATTGTGTCATCTCCATACAGTAATGACAAGACAACCGGCCATGTGTGCTCCACCCAGACACCATGCCATAACCTGAAAAATCAGTTATGGTCCACATCAACATAGCACACATTATGAAGTTTTGCTTACGATAACTATCATATGTTTCCACACCAGTTGACCATAACATTTTCAAATCTTCAATTAAAAGTTGAAGAAATACATCAATATTTCTACCTGGGCTTTTTGGACCTGCAATGACCAATGTAAGAAATGTAAACTTCGGTCGCATGCACATCTCAGGTGGCAAGTTATAGATAGTCAAAAAAACTGGCCAACAAGAGTAAGGGGTTGAAGAATGAGCCCAAGGGTTAAAACCATCAGTGGCAAGACCTAATCGAACATTACGGGGTTCTCTTTTAAAGAAGGATGCATGCGATCAAAATGTCTCCAAGCTTCTGATTGTGCTGGATGAATGACTTCATTTGTATCACCACAACATTTCAAATGCCATGTCACGTGCTCAACTGTTTTTCGAGACATGTATAGCCTCTGAAGGCGAGGTATTATTGGCAAGTACCAAAGAGAATTCCTTGGAATGTCCTTTTTTCTTTTCCTTCTTGGATCTCTCTGTTTATACCTCGCTTATCCACAAATTGGACATATGGTCAATGTCTTTGTAGACTCCCCATAGTATAAAAAGCAGTTGTTAACACAAGCATCAATTTTTAAATAACCTAACCCCAGTGCTTTCATAAATTTTTTTACTTCATAAAAGTTTGCAAGGACTTTTTCCTGATCTTCAGCACTTAACAATCTCCTACATCCTTCGATGATGGCATTAAAAGCACCAGCAGTTATATTATTTACAGTCTTAGTGTGCAACATATAAGAGAGTCAACTAAGCATTGTCTCATTTCTATTGGAACTACCAAGCGGTATTGTAGATGCATGAAGCAAGTCATAAAATGCCTTGGCTTGGTTGTTCGGTTCTTCGTCCAGATGTTGATCGGGGAAATTGCCTTCCATTTCCCGATG